GGTTTTCCTAATTTATATTCTACTTGGAACCCCCAACATAGAACGTATATCTAACATGCAATCCGTCCGAACGTTCGGATCAAATCTGAACATGAGAGACTCATTATGTTTTATGAAAATCCTTTGAAAAACCATGCAACCCTTAAGATGTGGTGTTCATCTTAAGTGAAATTACAATTATTAATCACAAGAAGCCAGCATCAATTTCAGGGAACCTTCCGACCAAAATTGCATCAAATTACTTTTCTAAAGATCCTAATGGTGATCAGGCATTAAGACAATTAGATAGTTTTAATCACGGTGATCAATAATTCAAAGTATGCATGCAATCAATCATAAGCAATTAAATAAAAATCACATATTCATGCTAAGGCTTACGGCTTCACCCTAGCAAACGGAATTAGTTACGCATATTCATAATTGAAATCATAGAAAATATTATTAAGAATAAACGGAATAAAAACACCTTAAAGTAGAAAATCTCCAAGAACCCTAGCCAAGCTCTCTGTCTCCCAAGGTAGCATAAAAGAAAAGCCTCCCCCAAAATTAAAAACGGCCAAGCCTTTTAATATCTCCCTAAAAGCCAACCTAGAAACCCTAAAAACGGCCAAGCCTTTTATTAATTCCCCTAAATCAGTTCCTTGGTTGATTGGAACAATTGTTTATGGCACCTTCATTAGATGAGTATGTACACACATTTATCGAGAGGGTAGTTAAGCTGCTGATGCCCTAACTTCTTTTGGCGCAGCTGGTTGTGCTTATTATTGTTGGTCCACTGTTCTAGATTTTACAGTTGTCGTCCATGCTCATGACCTTAAGTTTCCCCCTGTTTTTCATTTTCGTTGATGCTTGTTTGTTTTTTCTTAGCGAGTTTTGGCAATGTCCCCTGCTTGTATTGTTTTGTTTTCACAATTCTTTATTTAATAAATTCGGAGATAGGGGAGGGAGGGAGGGGTCGTTCTCTTAGGGAAGGAAGTGGCCTACTTGTAGTTGATTGCTAATCCTGAGGTTTTGGTTCTTTCTTTCTGTATTGTGTGGGTTTAGCGAGTAACATTTCTACTTTTGTAGTCCAACGACCAAGCCTTATGCGTAGGTCAACTCACCTAATCCATTATCATCATTTAGAGGAAAATAAAAAATAAAAAAATAAAAAAAAAAGGTTGAACAAGCTTCATTGTTGTTGCTGGCTTATTCCGGCATCCTGGTACATCATAATTGATGTACTAATTCTCCATTGCAGTTTATATTATGAAATATGTGGATTTAGACTCTTTAATTTTGGTTTTGTTATAGTCAAATTAGTTATATCTCATTGGAGTGCAGTATGATAGTCACATCTAACATTATTTTACAAATAAAATGACTTGAAATTGTGTTTAGTAAATTGATCAAGATTTTGAGTTTTAATTTTTTTTTTTTTTTTAATTTTATTTATCCTGGCGTTCGTTAATTTAGGATTTTACAATGTTAGTTTTGTTGTAAACATTCCTATTTTAAGTATGATTGTGTAAATCTTAGATTAGATTTCATTCTAGTTATCCTTTCCTATTGTATCTTGTATTCCTTGGGGAAGAAGGAATACCATCTCTCCTTTTATTACTATAAATAAAGGTACAATGTAGGAGGGATAACAACACACACATTCCTCTACAATTCTACAAACACATCTCTTTCTCTCTCTTCTCCTTGCCGCCGGCCCTCTCTCTCCTTGTCAGATAAAATAGACCACAACACGTTATCAACACACTCCTGCTGCTACGCTTAGGAATCTGACGTTGAAGAATTTTTTTGCATCAAACTAGTTCATCCATATCATCACACAATCAAGTTCTTTCAAAACAACGGTTTGTATCTCGATATTTTTGCAACCTTGATAGCATGAACATTCACCATGATGCATGACTCAATTTTACGTTTCACAAATTTTAGATTCCACATAAATTGTGTATGCCTCATAATCATAATTGTTGAATTATGTGAATTTGTGTATGCCTCAACAGTAATATAAGTAAAATCAGGTGCTCAACAACCTATGCTAGCACACCAGTCGGAGTCGCCTAATGCGACCGGTACGACTGAACTAATGCTCATCAATCCATGCTAGCACATGAGTCGGAGTTGCCTAATGCGATATGTACAATAGGACTAGGTGTAATCATAATATATGCTCTAGTGCTACAATCACGTGAAGACTGGTGATAATCACGGTCACCTATGAGTCGGAGTTGCCTAATGCAACCTGTACGATAGGAGTGGCACCTACTTGGATCCAAGGCGAGTGTGCGGTGCGGAGGTGAACATACACGTGAAAGACTAGCCCTGGCCCTGGGCGAGCACTAACACTGGGGTGTAGTAATAATGAGCAGACTACATAAATATAAGCATGACAAAGTGATTCAATAGTTCTAATGAACATACTAACATTCATAGCCGTAGATATAATTATGGCATCAAAGATTATAAGTGTACCTATGCATCGCGTAGGATGTAGTATATTTCATAAATTCCGTCATTTCGCTAATTCTTATAAACTTTAGTCAAATCCAGGCATATGTAAGGAATCCTTTTTCAAATGCATAAATGGAAACTATCAATCATATATATATATATATATATATGTACATGCACACTATAAAAAGGAAAAGATCCACTCACCTGAAGTCCACGCAACTCCCTAGCATGAATATTGAGGCGTCACAAACAATCGACATCTAGAACAATTATCCAATCACGTCTCAAAATTCTGATCAATGGAATGTAACTTACATGAAACACATCCCCAAGGACATTCTAGAATGATTTGAAACCCATTGACCAAAAGTCAACCGTAGATCAAAGGTCGACAGTAGGGTCAACAACCCTACGTAACTCAATCCGGAAGATCCGCACCTCGGATTTCTAATCCATAACTTTCAAAGATCCACATTATGCATCTAAAACAACATACAAAAACTTACCACGATCCGACGGTTGGATCTCCGCCAATCACAATTCAAGTGGCGGTCAACATTTTATTTTACGAACTAACAAATCCAATTTAGGAAGATCTGTACATCGGATTCCTGATCCGTAAGTTTATATGGTCCTCAAATATTACTTACTATAATGTATTAAAGTTTGGTTATGATCCAATGGTCAGATCGTCAATTCATATAATAACTAAGTGACGGCCAACTAGGCAGTCAACTACAAAACTATATTAAAACATTGGGATTTCACTAAGCGGATGTCAATTATGGAATCAGGGCATCAAATTAGCCTAGGATGGTCAGGTAGGATCTCAGCCCATGCGCCGCTGCCAAGTGCCACCGCACGAGGCGGCCTCCCTGACTCGTCAAAAAACGCAACTATTTCCAAAAATTCTCAAGTTTTACAGGAACGAAAATCTCAATGAGTAGAGCAAGTTTCATACCTATGACTAAGGCCAATTTGGCCAGGAAAAGCTCCAATTCGTCTCGAATATATTGCAAACCCCAAAAAGGGTGGCCTTCTATTCGCCTTCTCTGATGCTCCGCCGCCTCCAGGGTTGTTTGGGGTTTGTTCCTGGGCTCAAGGCACACCTGAGGATGGTGATGGTTAATGGAAAACCTTTCAGAATTGGATGGATCGCCGTTGTGCACCCTTTGAACTCTCGGTTCGAATTCCACAAATTAGAGCCAAATTGGCTCAAGTTTTTATATAAGAAGGGTAAAGGAAAGGATCCTAGGATCATTCCAAGTGATGAGGAATCTTAATTTGTCTGAGAACCACCGGAAAATGCTTCAAAACCAGTGGCACCCCCGGTCAAGTCTTGGGTATACGGGTCAAGGGGATGGAGGTCTGGGTTAGGTGCCACTCACCTCTCTCATTTCCCTCCCTGATCTCCCCCTCGGTTGGTCACTGGATCTCCTTCTTCCTGATTGGACAGCAGCCCCTTCCTTTTCTCTCCTCCGATTGGGTAGCATCTATCCCTTTCCTCCATTCATTCTTCTTCTTTCCCTCAATTTTCTATCAATTAATATTAAAATAGTAATAATATAATTATGAGAAATGTATAAAATAATAAATAGTAGTCCTTACCAATGTACTTTTGGGATTTGTAGTTCCGTAAAATTTTAACCGTAGCTCCGATTTCGATTATGTTTGCGTCTACTTGTTCGTATCGTTGAGTACTTCAAGAATATGCTAAAAGAATATATCGTACGTCTCACTATACGTTGGTCAACTAAATTCAATACCCTCACCTCTAGGGCATTTTAATAAATTCACATTTTTAAAATTTATAAAATCGTAGAACTAAAGACAGGTTGTCACAATAAGGCTTGGTTGTTGTTCTTGTTGTATGCACAAATGTCATGATCAATTAAAATTTTGTGTAATACTCTTGTAAAAGAAATGTTTTGGCATGGAATGTTAGACGGTCAAACATCAACACATGCAAAAATAATAATAATTTAACAGTTATGAGAATGCTTCGTTAGATCTGTGGGTACATGGGAAAGGACATGATTAAGAATGAAGATATCCAAGTTAAACTCGGAATGGTCGCAATTGAAGATATGATGAGAGAAATTCGGTTAAGGTGGTTTGGACATGTAAATCAAAGATCTATAGATGCTCCTATTAGAGCAGTTTCAGTGTACTAAGGCCCTTGGCAATAGGCAATCCATTCCCCTTAAAGGAACAGTAACTGCCTGTAGTGAACAGTAACTGCCCAAGTGCATCTTCATTCCCAAACTAAATAGCCCAGGCAATTCATATTAAAATATACGTAATTTTTATTTATAAAATAATAAAAGAAAACTTTATTTTTAATTTCGGATAATAATAAAAAATTGGTTGAAAGTATTTGAAAATATTGAAATCTAGCCTAAAGTTGTAGAACATGATTAGGCATTTATAGAAAAATATATATATTTTTTTATATTTATAATTAATTTTTAATAATTTAAATTGTAACGTCAGTCTTGCGTCATATAGCCTATACGTTAGGCTAGTGGAATATTGCTTGACTTCTTCATCAGGCTTGCCTTTAATAACTCGAGTGGGATTGAGTGTTTTGGGAGGAGGAGGAGTGGATTGAGTTGCCTATTTCTAAGGCAATTAGCAACGGTGGAGTTACTATTAGAAAATGCAATTATGAGATAAAGAATCATAACAAAATAGTAGAGGAAAACCTATGAAGATTTGAAAAGAGACTTCAAAAAAAAAAAAAAAAAAGACATGAAGTACTTAGAGATACAAAAGACTCTATACAAAATGGAGCTCATTAGTATTTTAAGATTCATACAACTACCGACATCATTTAGTTAAATAAGGTTGTCCAGAGAAAAAGTTGCCAGTCATTAAGCCACCGATTTTCTTCTCCACTTCAACAACTTTGTACTCTTTAAATGCTCTCCACCGACCGCTTCAACAACTCCTATTTTACAAACATTCCAAACTGTTACGGCACCACAAAGGCAAACTCTCTCTCTCTCTCTCTCTCAACCAATATAGGAAGTCAGCAAACAAGAGTACTGTTTCTTATTTCTCTAATGGCAAACAGAAACAGCGACCAAGATGGTGATCTTACTCTATCTCTATTACCAGAGGCGTTACCCCAAAACAGTGCCGCAAATGACAAAGATCAGAAAACAGACCTTTCACTAAGGGTCTGGTTAGAGACCAGGAAGCTATGGAAAATAGTGGGTCCTGCAATCTTCAGCAGGGTGGCTACTTTCTCCATGAACGTCATTACCCAAGCCTTTGCTGGACACCTTGGGGAGGTTGAACTAGCTTCAGTTTCCATTGGAATCACTCTGGTCATCGGCTTCAATTTCGGCCTCTTGGTACGTAATAATTAATGTACTACTTACTAACTAAACACTCTCTGTTTCACTGAAACTTCTCATGGCATGTTATATTGTCGAATTATTAATTATGATAACATTTTATTTCAACATATAAATGTTTGATACTTAGAGCACATTAATTAACTACAACTTTCGATTCAAAAATTTGACTTTGTAATCTCTTAGGCTTATTTGGAGTGTAGGATAGAATTGGAATGGAAAACTCTATAATATCAAGGCATGTTGAGAGGAGAAATAAAAAAAATAATAACCCAGTAGTGAGGGTTAGAAAATGATTTACTCATGAAGAAAATTATGCATTTCAATCCTCTCAAAAATAGTAGGATTAGAAGGTAAAATTTTCTTCATGTCTAATCATCATTTAATATCCTCCAAATAAAAAATCATCCACCTTTACCTTGAATTTGTCATGAAATTGAACCGTTATCAATTCAAATCCAATCATACTTACCAAATGAGGCCTAATTGTTTTATAGTTAATTTTCTTATAATTGGCCGTCAGTTAGGAATGGCAAGTGCACTGGAAACACTTTGTGGGCAGGCATTTGGAGCAAAAAGGTACAATATGCTTGGAATATACTTGCAAAGGTCATGGACGGTGTTATTTCTCTGCTGCATTGCACTTTTGCCGGTTTACATTTTCGTCACTCCAATTCTGAAACTGTTGGGACAAAGTGATGATGTGGCGGCACTGTCAGGAGTGGTGGCTCTGTGGCTCATACCCCTGCACTTCAGCTTTGCGTTTTACTTCCCATTGACAAGGTTCTTGCAAAGCCAGCTTCAGAACATTGTTATTGCTTGGGTCAGTTTAGTGGCTTTATTGATCAATATATTGACGAGTTGGCTTTTCGTTGATGTGTTGGATTTTGGGGTTTTTGGTGCTGTTATTGCTTTGGATATTTCTTGGTGGGTTTTGGCTTTGGGGCTCTATGTGTATGCTACTTGTGGTTGGTGTTCACAGACTTGGACTGGTTTCTCTACGCAAGCCTTTTCTGGGCTCTGGGAATTTATCAAACTTTCGGTTGCTTCTGGCGTTATGCTTTGGTACACATTTAATTCGTTCCCACATGCATATGATTTTCTTTTTTTTTTTGTTTATTTATTTATTTTAGGGTTTTATGTTGATTTTCTTTAGGTTGATTGTGTTAACAATGATTTATGCAGCTTGGAGAACTGGTATTACAGGATACTGATATTGATAACTGGTTATTTGAAAAATGCCACCATTACTGTGGATGCTTTGTCAGTCTGGTATGCGATTCCATGTTTTATATAATTCCAACTCTCCTTAATTTGCACGGATCAAATTTTACTAATATTTAGACTTGCTTCATGAACTTTCGGGTTGCAATTCCAATTTGGTACTTAACCCTAATAACTTTAATTTCAAAAATTGATAGAGATGGATACATGTTTAGTAGGTGACCTCGTTTTAAAGATATTACTGTGAAAGTGGTTGGAAAGTGCGATGTTTTAAATTGTTGTTCAGAATTTGGAAATTGAGAAAATTGGATTGGAAGGTGCTAAACCATTAGCTTTCTTCCGTACATGGTTATTTGCCATTGCTAGGCACTTAAAAAAATAGAATTTGTTAGGATTATGTGGCTCCAGTGATAAAGAGCTTTTACGTGCTTAAGGTTATATAGAGAAAATAAAATTTTAGACCAACTCCAAAACACAATTTAAAGATCAAAGTTGAAAACCTTGAAAACTTTAGGGTGAAACATTAACCATATTTAAACTTTTATTTTAACATTACTATTTTAACTGCATGTCGTCCAATCCTTGTGGATAAGGCGTTAACTTAAATTCCACCCTTGTGTCCGAGGTTCAAACCTTCTCCTCCTCTAAATTAATGTAGCAGCTTGGAATCCCGTTCATAATAATATTAAAAAAAACAGAAAAAAAAAACTACTTTAGCTAATCATTTTTATGATTGGGTCTAAATTCTGCAGCATGACTATTAATGGGTGGGAGATCATGATTCCTCTAGCCTTCTTTGCTGGAACGGGGTATCATTTCTATTCTCTTTCCAAATTTATCTCACTATAATAATGGAACTAAAAATATAGAGGAAAGAAATACTGAAATCAAGAATTTTTTGTACTTAGTAGAGTTATTTGACACAGTGCAAACACTAGCATTCATTTGAAATTTATATTATGAATTTGCAGAGTAAGAGTTGCAAATGAACTAGGAGCTGGAAACTGGAAGGCAGCAAAGTTTGCAACGAAGGTTTCTGTAATTGAATCGACCATGGTTGGTGTCTTTTTTTGTGTACTTATAATCGCACTCCATGACAAGATCGCATACATATTCACCACCAGCAGTGATGTCGTTGAAGCAGTTAATCACATGTCTTACCTCTTGGCTATCACAATTCTACTTAATAGCGTCCAACCTGTTTTATCAGGTTTGTTCTACGACCAATTTGGAACCATTTGGTTAACCACCTTAACTGTAAAAGTGAGCCGATGAAGAAAATTGAGATTTCATTATAGAACCAATTAGTAATATAGAAAATAGCTCAACTTCTTTTAAGTTCTTGCAATATTTCTCATTTCCTTGATGTAGAACTCTTTTACCTTCACATACTCACAATCCTGACCTAGAATGGTGGTTATACACATTTTATCATATGTTACTGACCATGACCAAATTTTTATGGGGTTTACAATGAACAGGAGTAGCAGTGGGATCGGGATGGCAAGCATGGGTGGCATATATAAATCTTTTCTGCTACTACATTGTTGGATTGCCACTTGGAATTTTAATGGGATGGGCCTTCAACTTGGGTATTAGGGTAAGCTCATTATCGCTCCATATACTTCTTTCTTTTTCTGTATCTCTTTCGTAACATGCTCTTAAACATATAAAAATCTTAGTCCTCGCAGCCAGTATAGGACCAAATTTTGCCAATTGTACCACTTGTGCCAGCATAAATTTTGCAAGGATTAATGGCATTATCTTGGCATTTTTTTTTTTGTTTAATATATGATGTAAAACAGGGTATTTGGGGTGGGATGATCATTGGTGGAACCGGTATGCAAACATTGATATTGGCCACCATCACAATTCAACGTGATTGGGAAAAGGAGGTATGTTAATTAGACATAATGATTTGATTATGTTATCCTTTTGTTTTCTTATATATTTATTTGTTCCCCTTTCAAACCCTATATTTGAAATACTCGTTCTTGTACAAATTTGTTGCTTGAACTTTGCAGGCTGAGAAAGCCACCCTGCATGTATCGAAATGGTCAACCCATAAACCAGACAACCAATCAGAGGAGGAAGCACGGTAGCTACAAGCTTGTGAATTTCGCATGCATTTCGTGCACCATTTCTGATGCCTAATTTCAATCATTGATTAATAAATTAACATAAAAAAAAATAGAGGCGATGCCCGCCTTGCCCGATTTACTCTTAAAATTGTTGATGTTGCTACCTAGTTTGAAGAACCTTATAATGTAATTGGCGGCGATGATCACACGTGCTTGTTGACCACATGTGTGAAACGGTGACTCTTCCTTATTAATTATGGGTATAAGACCTTTTTAGTATCGCCATCCTGTTCCATGAATATATGTGGCCATTTATGTTTTTTTTTATTTAAAAATTTTCTAGGGGCCATAATGGTCGGGTTTTCAACAATCTTTCTTCTCAAATTCCATTGCTAAAATGTTTGCTAATAAATATGTCCCTTGAAGCACATATAGGAAATACAGAAGTTTATTTAGAAAAACAAGTAAAACTGGTGAGCATTGTTCAATGATGAGATATAATTATAAAGGACTCGACAAATAACAATCACTCAAACAACGTACATAACATAGCCCAATTTGCCTAATTAGTACAAGAACAATGCTGAGATACAAATATAAAGGACTCGACAAATAACAATCACTCAAAGAACAAACATAACATAGCACACTTTGCCTAATTAATACATTAATTATATTAATATAACTCAGCAGGAAGGCGTGGAGTGAGAAGGACTTCAAACAAGGCACTCATATGATTGGTTAATCCTGCTGTCTCACGCAAGTCAATCAGGTCATCCGTTGGGGTTTCGATTTCAAACCCATGAAGAAAAGAAGCGAGTGTAAATTCTGTGACCTTTAGTGCAAGTGAGATTGCAGGGCACATCCTTCTACCACTGCCAAATGGTAACAACTCAAAATCCCGACCCTTAACATCCAAGCCCTTATGGGTTGTGAGGAATCGTTCTGGCTTGAATTCGTTTGGCTCTGACCACACATTTGGGTCTCTATGGATCTTTGAAATGTTAACCAATAGGCGTGTGCCAGCTGGGACGTGGTAGTCACCTACCATGCAATCGTCAGTGGATAGGTGTGGTATTGCAAGTGGTGCAGCAGGGTGCAATCGCATTGATTCTTTGATAACAGCTTGGAGATAGACCAATTTGTCTGTGTCTGATTCCTTCACTTGTCTGTCTTTACCAACATTTTCATCTAGTTCTTCTTGGACCTTCTTCAGTGTTTCAGGGTGGTTCACAAGTAAAGCTAGAGCCCATGACATTGTCGCAGTCGTAGTTTCTGCACCTCCTAATAGGAAAGTCTGCAAAACAAGTAACATAAACACAAGTATATAGCATCAACAATCTTCTAAGCCCACATAGTTTACAATTTAAGACAATTTTTTTCCCCACCCTATCTTTCTTTCTTTTCCTCTTTCTTCTCCTTCTACACTCACTTTCTCCCATCAAACCTGATTACCATGTATGTATACACGTCTAACAATTCAGTGAACTTGAAAGTGGTTTTACCGTCACGCTCAAGAATTTCTAAGAATGAATAAGAGCTGTCAGATTAGCCACCATCATGGTAAAAGAAAGTTGAGGTTCCATCATAAAACTAATCGACAATATAGGAAGTAGGACTTATAAGCACATGTAAGATCCCTCATTTTCTTGATGTGGGTTTAATACTTTCAATACTCACCCCTCATGTGTGGTGAATTTTAAAGCCTAGCATATGGACAACACAAGTCAAGTGACGTGGAACACGTGTGGCCATTGGGCTTCACACACAAGACAACCTGTTTTAATACCATAAAAAAAAGTTGATGTTTCATCAAAAAACCAATTGGTAATATAAAGAGAGTAACTCAATTACTTATAAGCATATGCATGATCTCTCATTTCCCCGATGTAGGATCAATACTTTCAATACAATGGCCCATGTTTACAGTTTTATATGAAATACGTATACTCAAGAAAACAATTAAGTAAAATGTTAAATTAAGCAAATTATGTACGTTCATGTGATGAAAAAGAAAACAGAATACGAAGAGAATCAATTGAATTAATTTTACTAGATCGACTACAAAAAATAATAATATAAGATTCATGTTCAATTTCAACCAATATAATGTGTATGTGAAAAATTACCAAGGAAGTAGCTATGTTGATAGTATCAGCGTCATAGGATGTAGTAACTTCATTGTTACCAAGGATTGAAAGCATAACATCCATGAAATCAAGCTCATCACCCATCAGTCTGCCAGATATCTTCCTCTTGTGCTTATGCTCTTCTAGCCATCCCTTGAATACTTCTTCTAGCTCCTTAGCAATCTTCTTCATAGCTCTCTCATGTCCACCCAAATCCAACCACCTCAGGAATGGAATTGAATCCGAAATCACAAAAGTCCCACTTAATCGAAGAAATTCCAAAAAGGTTTTCCGACCCAAATAACATCCTTGAGAGTACTTCGAGTCAGTAGCTTCCAGAAAACTTTTCCCAACAATCATCCTAAATATAACGTTTTCATTTGTAAACGCAAGCCATTCTTTCATCTCCACCAACACCTTAGTCGAACCACTACTCTTCTTGTTCACTGTCCATCGTCGGTGCATTTCTTTCATGGATGCCTTCACTTCAAATTCCCGAATGTGTTTGAGCTTCTCAATGCGGCTCTGGGATAGCACCTCCAGTGTGGCTATCTTGCGTATTTGGCGAAAGTAGTCGCCATAAGGACTGAAGGGGAAAAAGGCATAGTTGTAGCCCAGAACTTCTCCGGCTATAGATTTTGGACGGCTTGCAAACACTTTGTCGTTGGTTTTGAAGCACTCCTTAGCTATTTCGGAACTACTGACGACGATAGCTCTCTTCACTCCGAACTTTATAGTGAAAATGGGTCCATACTTGTCGGCCAAGTTACCGAATAGCAAATGGGCCGGTTCAGTTGAGCTTGATAATAAGTGGAGGTGGCCAATTATTGGCCATGCTCTACCAGCTTCCGGTGGCGCTTTTCGGATTACCCCTCCATGTTTCCATAACAGGGAGTAGAGAAATAGTGACAAGGCGAATGTGACTGCCATGAGAGTTACCATTAGATCATATGAGAGGGGAAAATAATCCATCTCCATGAATAGAAAGATGTCTTTCAATTGGAATCGATATTGAAGATTTGGTATGATCGAAATATGTGCTTGAATAAATAAAGGGTGTGATGAAAGGCGATAATTATTTGCGGGACAACACGGTTAAAATATGAACAATTATTTCCAATATAAAACATATATTATCTTGATTGACGCACCATGGTGGGGTTAAAAGTTTTCTATTAAAGTCGATAATTATTTGCTCGAAGATACGGTTAAAGGATATGAACCATTATTTCCAATATAAAACATATATATGAGTATCATTGGCGCACTAGGAGTGTATCCCATTGTTTGGCCTTTTGTTCAATCTTCTGGCATTTGAAGCGTGCAATCATTGTGGAGGTAAACAGAGAAATTAACGTTCTCGAAAAAGTCATGGCATTTCAAACGTGCAAAATATTCAATAATTATGCATGATTAATATTTTATAAACTTGTTGTATAATAAAAATAAGTAAATATACGTGACACAATTTGGGTGGATTTGTAACACTAAGTGGCTTTGTGACTGTCAAATTCAAAAGCTACTCGCTTATAGAAGGGTAATGATAGCGAAACTAAACTTTACAAACTAAATGACATGAAAATTGATGATTAAATTACTACTTAAGTGTTGATTAACTCTTAACTAAATTGAAGAACTCTCAACAAATGAAGAATTCTAATAACTTAGAGTATGAACACGATGAAGATTGCAAAAGAAGAAAGCTAAAGAGAGGAAAAATAAGATTTGAATAGATTCTCATTAAAACATATTTTATCAAACACCAATACTGTTAGACAAATAAGGAATATGGTTGGAGTCCTTGTGTAATTGTATATAATATTATTATTGGAAGAATAAGCCGTCCTACAGCCGTTAAGCCGTCCTACAGCCGTCCTACCTTGTCCTACCTACACACTAGCCGTCCTACAGCCGTCCTACCTTGTCCTACCCACACACTAGGGCGGCTACCTTGTCCTCTACAGCCGTCCTACCTTGTCCTACCTACACACTAGGACGGCTACCTTGTCCTACCTACACATTTGTATCATGTATATATATCCTTGTAATCTTGTAGAGAAAGATAATGAAAAAATAAGCATTCTCTTCCATTTGCATTCTCTTCCATAAGCATTCTCTTCCATTTGCATTCTCTTCCATTTTTCCACATTCATGTATCAATAACAAATATAATTTTTAGCCTACATACCTTTTTCTACATGGTATACAGAGCAGGTTTATAACCCTAGCCCTAATTTTTTTTTCGGCAGCTTTCTCTGCCGTTCCCATGGCTGTTCGTGGCCCGTCCCGTCCCTCCTCTGTTCGTCCTCCCCTCCACTGCACCTACTGCAATTTTGATTATCATACCCGAGGCACCTGCAATAAACTTCATGGCTATCCCGTTGGCCATCCCCTCCATGGCCAACCGTGGCGACCACCGCGCCGTGCCACTGCTTCCAGTTCTTCCCGCAGCCATGCACCTTCCAGTCCTCCCCAGCAGCCACGGTTTTCTGCTTCCCGGCCCCATAATTTCACCCAGGCCCATCACGTGCAAGGCACCCAGGCCCCCGCCTCCTCTTCTACTCCAGTGACCCACCAAGTGCACGGGACCCAGCCCACTTTGCATGACTTGCAGCTTGCCATGCCTGACCTCTCTGCCGAGCAGCACTCCCGTGTTCTAGCTGCTCTACGTGACACCACCACCCCTCCTCAGGCCAATGCCGTGCTCACTACTGATTTTGCCCAAGGTTTGTTACCTGTCACCTCTCGTCATGGTCAATGGATTCTTGACAGTGGTGCTACGGATCATATTACTTCTTCCGCTTCATGTTTGGTTAATCATTCTCCTTCACATTTGCCGCCTGTTTCTTTGCCTAGTGGTGCTTCCGCTCCCATTACTTTTACCGGCACTCTTCCTTTAAATTCCTCAGTTACTTTGAAGGATGTTTTATGTGTCCCTAATTTCTGAGTGGACCTTTTATCGGTTGGTAAACTTACAGATGGATTATCGTGTTCCATAACCTTCTTTCCTTCTTGGTGTGTTTTGCAGGACTTGGTTTCGAAGGCGATGATTGGCGTGGGTAAGCGACGTGGCGATCTGTATTACCTTGTGGCCCTTACCTCTTCTCTCCCCACCCGTCAACCTCTCTGCAACATCATTACCATCCCCTCCTCCCTCTGGCATAGGCGTCTTGGTCACCCCTCCTCCACTCGTTTGCAAGCTTTAGCATCTAGCTCTCTTAATTTCACTTTTGATTCTAGTCATATTTGTGATGTTTGTCCGTTGGCAAAACAAACTCATCAACCTTTTCCTTTGAGTTCAATTTCATCAACTTTCCCTTTTGCTTTAATTCATTGTGATATTTGGGGCCCGAATCGTCAATCTTCTCTTTCTGGTGCTAATTATTTCTTAACCATTGTGGATGATTTTTCTCGCTTTACGTGGGTCTTCCTCATGAAACATAAATCCGACACTCAACAATTAATTAAGGATTTTTTTGCTTATGTCACTACCCAATTCCGCACTACCATCCAATGCATTCGTACTGACAATGGTGGTGAATTTTTATCTCTTCGTAGTTTTTTCTCTGATCATGGGGTGCTTTTACAAACTTCTTGTGTTTATACCCCCCAACAAAATGGCGTTGTTGAAAGAAAACATCGTCATCTTCTTGAAACCGCTCGCGCCCTTCGTTTTCAATCCCATCTTCCTATCAAGTTTTGGGGGGAATGTGTTCTTACCGCTACTTATCTCATCAATCGTCTCCCTACCCGTCTTCTCCATCATAAATCCCCATTTGAGGTTCTCTTTTCGAAAACCCCATCTTATGACCACTTCCGCGTCTTTGGTTGTCTAGCATATGCCACCTCTGTCACTCCCACCACCAAATTTTCCCCTCGGGCTCATCGTTGCATTTTTCTCGGTTATCCTCATGGACAAAAGGCCTATACCCTTTACGATCTCGACAATCACCGCATTTTCACTAGTCGAGACGTCATCTTTCACGAAAGTACTTTCCCTTATGCCGTTTCTCACCCTCCTATCCCATCCTCTTCGCCTACCCTACCCATCCCACCCCCTCTGGACTTTACATATAACCCACCCCTTCCTGCCCCGACGCCTCACCCTCATCCACCTTCCTCCCCTTCCACGCCTCCCACAGATTCCCTTGCTGCCCCATTACCCGTTCCTCCCCATGCCCCTGCCCTCTCGGCATCCCCTCCTTCCCCCCCCCCCCCGCTACTTCCTTACCTTTCACCCTTTTACCCACGAACATCCCTACCCCCCCCACTACCTACCAATCCTCCCCTTCCCCGCACCTCTTCCCGTGCCCATAAACCTCCATCCTATTTAAAAGACTACGTTTGCTCGCAGGTGATTCTGCCATCCCACCCATCGTCGACTTCGCAACCCGGTTCTACACAAGGTACGCGATATCCACTTTGTAATTTTCTCTCTTATCACCGTTAGTCTCCCAGGCATTTTTCTTACATTAACTCTGTCAGTCGGACTGTGGAGCCTTCCTCCTTTGCCGAGGCTGCCACTGACCCCAATTGGCAACGTGCTATGACTGAGGAGCTTCAAGCTTTACATGCTAATGGTACTTGGACTTTAACTTCCTTGCCCCCTGGCAAAATTCCCATTGGTTGTAAGTGGGTGTACAAACTCAAGCACAATTCCGACGGCTCTATTGACCGCTACAAAGCTCGTTTGGTTGCTAAAGGCTTCACTCAGGCTGAAGGTATTGATTATCATGACACTTTTTCTCCTACTGCTAAGATGATTACGGTGCGTTGTCTTCTTGCTCTTGCTGCTAGTCAGTCTTGGTCTCTTCATCAGCTTGATGTTAATAATGCTTTTTTACATGGTGACTTACATGAAGAAATCTATATGTCTCCTCCTCCTGGTCTTCGGCGACAGGGGGAGAATCTTGTGTGTCGCCTTCACAAGTCACTTTATGGTCTTAAGCAGGCTTCTCGCCAATGGTTTGCCAAATTCACTAGTGTCATCATTTCTGCCGGTTTTCAACAATCCAAAGCTGACTATTCATTGTTCACTAAAAAGTCTGGTACTTCTTTCACAGTTTTGCTCATTTATGTGGATGATATTGTGATTACAGGCAATGATGCTAGTGCCATTAATTCTCTGAAGTCTTTTCTCCGTGATCATTTTCGGATAAAAGACCTTGGTGATTTAAAATATTTTTTGGGTATTGAGGTTTCTCGTTCCAAACAAGGGATTTATATTTCTCAACGCAAGTATGCATTAGAGATTCTCAAGGACTATGGTTTTTTGGGAGCACGACCCATTGCTTTTCCTATGGATGACACAAAATTATCTAATAAAGGAGAACTTCTCAAGGATCCTGAAACGTATCGACGATTAGTAGGTCGGTTAATATATCTCACTATCACTCGGCCGGATATCACCTATTCTGTGCATGTTCTAAGCCGTTTTATGCACGAGCCAAGGATATCTCATATGGATGCTGCGCTTCGTATTGTTCGTTATTTGAAGGCTACTCCAGGTCAAGGTTTATTATTTCGTTCTGACAACCAGACCAAGTTAACTGCGTTTTGTGATTCTGATTGGGCAGGTTGCCCTATCAATCGCCGTTCGACTACTGGGTATTGTGTATTCTTGGGCGGTTCTTTGATTTCTTGGCGGACGAAACGACAGAAAACCGTTTCACTCTCTTCAGCAGAGGCGGAATATAGGGCCATGGCAGGTGCTTGTTGCGAGATAGTTTGGCTTCGTTTTTTGTTGAAGGATTTGAACATTCCTTTGGATGGTCCTTCCATTTTATTTTGTGATAATCAAGCAGCGTTACATATAGCTGCCAATCCTGTTTTTCATGAACGAACTCGTCACATTGAGATGGATTGTCACTTTATACGAGATAAGATTGTAGATGGCACAATAGAGACCAAGCATGTGGGTACGACACAACAGTTGGCAGACTTGTTTACCAAACCTCTTGGGAAAGAAAAGTTTTCGGGTATGTTATGCAAGTTGGGAGTTCTTGACATCCACTCTCCAACTTGAGGGGGAGTGTTAGACAAATAAGGAATATGGTTGGAG